AACTATTTTCGATTAGCTATAGATGCATAGAGAACAAATGCTTCTGGTTTAGATGCAAGACTTAACTTAGGACATAGAAGTACAGTCATTTAACACTTGCAAATAGCCATTTCTGCAAGAAAAATACAATTAGGCTTTACAAAATATTATCAAATACACAGAGATATCAAAACCCTGACTGTGGCCAGAAGCAGAAATCTACAATTGGGTACTCTCTAACCTTAAGGTTTGCAAATGGACTGACTTTTCCTGTCTCCCAAACTCAGCAAGGCAGCAGCTGCTCAAGCACATGTAGGCTTTGCTTATGAGCAGTGTCTCTGAACCATAAGAAGCTGAACCAAAACCAGCTCCAGGTGCGTGTTCACAGCCTGTGGCTTTGCATCGATTTACACTCACATGGGCAAGAGCTGTTCCTTCTCACCCTACAAAAGAAACAAGATGCAAATTTTCCTTTGGTACTTAAATAAGAGGAAGTCAAACAAACAGAGCTCAAACACTGTGTGCAGTGTCTGAACCCTTGGAAAAATAGCACTGCATGGATCCCATACAGGTGAAGCTGTGGCACAAGGTGGGTGTAGAATTATTACTGGCTGATTTCTCTGCTTTGGAGGGCTACTTACTCTAAGGCTGCATAAACAAACACATCAGTAAACAAATCTGTTATGGTTAATAATGCTTTGTTTATGGGTACATTTGGAAGGAAATTCAGCCACTCCCTGGCAGCAGGAGTCATCAATTTCACTGCTCCTTGTTTCTTTTGAAGTGCCTACAGTACTGAAAATTAGAGGGCTCTGCTCAGACCCCTTAATACACACCAGTGTCTCTGAATGGTAGGCAGCAGCACTGCACAAGAATTTTTTCTGGTATTGTGCCTGACTTGCTCATGGACAGCAAATCAGCCCATTCTGGGGTGAGATTTTACAATCAGCTTCAGCTGCTGGGAATGGTCTGGCTGTGCTGCCCAACTCCTGCTCTGCTCCACAGCTGTTGCTAATGCTGCCATAACCCTTAGTGCCATGACAAAGGATTTGGGCACATTTGACCAGAAGGAGCAGTACAACCCTTTCAATTGTACATTGCACTGTAAAATCTCATCACCAGGTACTGGGCAACAGCTTCAAGTTATCTTGACATAGATTGTGTGCGTAATACCCCAGGAGATAATGCAATTAGCTCCCAAGAACAGCAGTAGAGTTTTGCTCTTTCATTTCCAGCATAAATAAGCATAAAAGCGACCGAAGAAATCATCTGTATAGTGTAATTGCCTATAAAATAAACCATTCAGGGAAAAGAAAATCAGCCTCTGCCAGGGAAGAGCAACAAAAAACTGCTACAGAGATGAAGTGTTCTGCTTTTTCATTCTTTCCCATATCCTGCACATGGAACAAACTCTGGCTGATGCATATTCCCAACAGATACCAACGACAGATGGGGAATAAAGGATGTGAAGTTCCACAACATTAGTTTGAAGAGTTTGTTCCCTTTTTGCTCCCATTCTGACCTGTCCTTCCCCTGCTGTGGAACCTCTCTCAGCTATGCTGATGCAGTTTCTTGTGTTGCCACACCACAAAACCAACATGAAATACTAAGTTTTAAAATCACCCAAAAAGGGGCACAGGGAGGGAGGGGATAATTTAACTTTTGGGCCTGTCACTACAGGAGAGACCCTGAGGTGCCAGAGCACATCCAAAGCAAAGCAACAGAGCCAAGGAAGGGTCTGGAGTGCAAGTCTTATGAGGAGCAGCTGAGGGAGCTGGAGGGGCTCGGCCTGGACAAAAGGAGGCCCAGGAACCTTGTAACTCTACAACTACCTGGAAGGAGGCTGTAGCCAGGTGGGGACAGGCCTCTTCTCCCAGAAAATAAGCAATGTGACAAGAGGAAACAGCCTCAAGTTGCAGCAGGGAGAATTAGATCACTTATTGGGAAGAATTTCTTCACCCACTGCAGTCACCATCCCTGGAGGGATTTGAAAGACACACAGATGTGGCACCTGGAGACTTGGTTTAGTGGTGGGCCTGGCAGTGTTGGGCTTATGGTTGGTTTGATGATCTTAAAGGTTTTTTCCAACCTAAATTATTCTGTTCTAACTCAAGCAGCTTCACTGATACTGCACAACAGAAAAGAAGCAACATCTTATGTTAAAAAAGGTGAAGGTCTCACTGCCTGCCTTCCCCTCTGACTCCACCTGCAACTCATCCATTCCTTTACTGCAGCTCCAATACTTCTAAAATCCTTACTGAGTGTAATGGTTGGTTTACCTCTCTACTTTTTTGCCGAATCACCTTGTTTAAATCAACTTAAATTGGTATGGAAGAGTTCAACAAGCTGCAGCAGGTGCCCACATGAGGTTTGGAAGGGGAGTACAGGTGTCCCAGTGGCTCTGCCATCAGCC